CATGCCCTGACCCACAGTCGGCATGCATTTACATCTGAACTGGCGTGATGGATGGGAACGGCGCGGAGGAGCATATTCAATATTCATCACAAAGGGCATCCAGGGATCTGATTCCGATGTCAAGGAAACGGCGGGATACGCCACGTATGAGTGGCGGCGCCTGCTCTGTCAGTGAGGCGTGAATCACTTTCGCATTGTAGTGTGAGGTAAATCGAGAGTTTGAGGTAAATCGAGATTCCAATACGCTCTCGATGGCCGATGCATCCTGCTTTGGCCTTTGAAGTTATCGCGTGGCATTAAGTGTAACATAAGGGGTACTCCTGACAGTTAGGAATCATGACATTTTTCAGAGCGAGGTAGTATTGCGATTCAATCTGACATATAATGCATATATGTACTGCATATAGAGTGCACGTAACGTGGTCGGATAGCAGGTTATTACGAAGGTCACAAGCCCAAACAAACTGATGTGATCTTTTCAATAAACTGAGACGGGTACATGCTCCTTTGGGGCAGCAAGCCAATTCTAACATCCTTAGGCTACTTTGGTTGTTTGTGTATTCGTCCATCGCGCCGGCCGTGTAGGAAACACTGGAGGTAACTGGGCTTCGGGGCAAGTACACCAGCTGTCCGTGTCCGTGTGCGTGTGTGTGTTGTGTGAGCGTGTGTGTGTGTGCGTGTGCGTGTGCATGGGTGTGACTATGCGCACGTGTATGCGTATCAGTGCCTATGCTTCGTAATCTGCTCCCCTGCTCTCCATTGGGAGCACAAAAGGTGAGCGCGTGTGAGTGAGACACAAGCGCTCGGCTGGCTCGCGAGCCGGCGGTGGTCGGGGCCTTCTCTTACGTAATTCACTTATTCCTAGCGTCGAATGCATAAATACTTTTGATTTTGTTTCCTGTCATGGGAATCTTTGGTACGCTCTTCGTTTGGTCAAAAGCGCGGTGCGTGGCCGCAACAGATAAACAAAAAAGACGCCCACGTAGCTTTAAGAGGGCGTCCCACATTTGTACTGAGTTTTGAACCGAGATGGCCATTTGGATAATCATTTAATACAGTTTACAGGCATGTTTTTTAATGGCTTAAAAATCCCGTGTTTTTTAACTTGGTGCCCGCAAACTTGTGCACACTGTGTCGTGCAGACTACTTCAAGGTCACCCCGGGTATTCATAACCCCGTACAAACGCCACGCAAACACCGTGTCGTCATTGGTCATGTACTGTTCAAGGTCAATAAAAAATATAATGACCGGATTATTCGTGTTCAGCGTACGTCAGCACGATTCATGGCATCAGCGGTCATCAGTGTCCTGTCGACAATTTTGATGCGTTGAGTGCAGGTTTCGAACACAAATCACGTTTAGTGCTGTATAATCTAGGGATCTTGGCAGTGGTACAAATTATGACGGAAGTGACACTGCGATTCCAAAATCTGACAGCGGCACCAACGGCACTTCGTCCGTCTTTGCCAGGAGCGTCGACCGCGTCCCCGCCGTCGAGGCGCCCCTGTCCATGCCCGAGGGCGGGCCCGGAACTGGGCGTCCGGTCTCGCCGCGGACGCCTGGAACTGACCGCCCGGTCTCGCCGCGGACGCCGTCCAGGGCGAGCTGAAACTGCTCCATGTTGCTGACGCGAAAACCTCTGGAGCCTTGATGAATCTTGAAGTACATCTAACCATGGCTGATGTGGGTCGTGTAAGTAATCCCCTGTCTTTTAACGAACATCCATTTTACGTCTTTTAGCGTGCATTCACCCTTTCCCGCTTCTTTGGCGCAACTGGCTCGGGGACGTATATCTTTTTCTTGAGGCCTGTCTGTGCCTGTTCCGGTCCAGAAATCTCTCGCATATTGAGTCACGCAGACAATTTTCTTGCAGAATTTGTAAATCGCCGTATCGTCGGCCTGCCGCCGATGCGCGGCCTTAGATGTCCGTTGGGCGCGCTTCAGCCCCTGCGCTGAGGCAATACCCTGGCGCGAGCTCCAGGTTTACTCTCGAAAAATTCCAAGTTGGGAGTTATCTCTAATATCAATCCTTCTAATCCACCCTCTTGAAAATTACGCCTGCCGCACCGCATCCATTCTAAGCCGGCTTTCGCAACGCAGCCGAATGGTAACCGCCCCCGGTATACAAACCGCCGATGACGGTACAAACGTAACAAACCGGAGATGGAGTGCGTCTAATTGTAGCGCAATTATGTTTTGTTCCATCTGGAGGCGACATAATTTTCGTGGTTAGGACTCCAATGGGAATTATTATCCCATTAGAGCCAACATCCGTGAGTGGATCACCAATGGTGACAGCCGCTCTGGAAATTGAGTAGGCAGCGTGTCCGTTAAAGTCCTGACTGCGTGATCAGGCAGCCCACGCCCGTTACCAACGGCCGCCGTTACATGACATTTTTAGAAGCACCGGTGCGGAGCCATGCGTCGACACTTTGTTCAGTCTGACTAAAGCACCAGTGGTTGGCCATTCATTGACACCATTTCCAGCCTGACTTTCACTGGGCTCCTGCAACTGCGAATGCCGCTAAAACGCTCACCCCCATGTTCTGTGGCAGAGTTTGAGAGCTCGCGGCGGGCCATGCGACTTCAAACGTCCTCTCCCCTGCACCGGTGCAGCAACGAGCATAATACGCACCGCAGTGCACCACATGCCAAGGTTGCAGAATGCGTCATTCTGCAAGGGTTGCAATCCAACATCTGAGAAATAAGTATGCCCAAAACCTTTGCCCACGGATTACTGAATGCACTGTAATACTGGCACAGCCTGACCGTAAGCTCCGAGCAGAATGCCGATGTCAGGTTTGTGTTCAGAGCGTATCAAGACAGAGGTTAGCACTAAGCTTCTACAGAGAAAATCTTTGGAAGGCGATGTCGAATATTCAGGTCAACTTAGCAAGTGATGCATTCGTCCGAACGCATCACCGAATGTCAGAAGTCAGATAAACTGCATAATACAGCTGAATAGTAGAAGGTTTCTTCTGATGACGGATGCTACAGAGCGTAGCCATGTTTCATTTTCCAGCCTGCGCAAGAGGATATCAGTATCCTTTTTGCGTTACACATCTGAATAATTGTTTTTTGGCTTGTTTCTAGTGACTATCGCAGTTTCCACCATGTCCTACAGCAGCAATCAATTCTGAAAAATAGCTATGTATATATTAAGTAAATTGTGCGTGTGTATGTCAATGCGCGCGCGCGCGTGTATGTGTGTGTGTGTGTGTGTGTGTGTGTGTGTGTGTGTGTGTGTGTGTGTGTGTCCGTGTATGCGGCAGTGTTACTGGACCGTAATGCTAACGCATACGCAGATTGAATGCCGCGACACAGTGCTAGTACGCATTGCTGCATGTCTTCCACTGGGCCCAGTCTGCAGACAGTTTGGTAAAAATATTGCAGTGCTTAGAGCAAACGTATGGTAAAAAGAAACATACAGCACGCATGAGTGTATGCAGTAGTCTTCTACGTAGCGGGCCACGATTTGTGGCTTTGTTTTGTTTTTTTACGGGAACCGACCCCGGTATCGGGTTGGAATCGAGGTCAGTTGAAAAGTTCAGGTCTGAATGCAGGTTAGCACGCGTTAGAATTGTCGCATTTTGTGGAGCGCCACGGTGGTTTCATGTTGCAGTCATGTATAAATAATGGCTGTCCGGCACGCGCAGTCGGCATTGTTCACTGCGTGTGCATGCCAAGGTCTGGTTGCATGCTTACATGCGGTACGTCCAAGTGGACACCCAGCCACGAGAACAGGACACCCATAGGTAGCAAGGCATCACATTACGACGCTTTCACAAGGCTACTATTTCAACACCACGCAAGAGTTCACGAGAATGCCGAATATTTCCTAAAACTGCAGGATTAAAACCGACGGCCTGCATGATGCGCAGCTGCACAGCTCAAAATAGCTGACGAGTTTGGACAGCTGACAAAGCTTCTATGGTAACCCCTGCTTGTCTCATTTCCTACCAGACTTTGGTTCACCGCTTATCAGCAGCTGCGTGGCGTGCACGGCCGCTGGTCTGCGGTGCCGAGGCCGGCCGCTATGTGTCAGCGCCGATGACCGTGGGCTGGCTGACTCGGGGCCCTATCGCGTCCTGCGGTCGCTGGAGCCGCGCTGGCCGGCTGCAGGGCGGAGGTGACAGCTGTCCTCTGTCTGAGTATGGCCGCCGCACAGGCGGAGATCCTGCCCGCCGCCTCACTAGACAGGCAGGAAATCCGGCCGTCTCCTCCCTCCCCCCTCCTCCTCCTGCCCCGGCGACGCGAACATGGCGACGCGCTCCCCGACTTCGAGCAGCGACGCCAGACAGCAGCACCGGTGATCACTATCGCAACTGCGCCTCCATCATTCGCAACTGGTGCACTTCATAGCCTTCGCTCACGGGCTTTGTTCCGTCAGAGAACCAGGTGAAGACACGGAAACATTTATGAACTTCAATAAATACGCAGACCACAGACTAGCATGCATTTCTTCACTTCACGTGGGACGCAGGCGAGACTTTTCAGCGAGACCCACAGCAGCGTTTCTATTGAAAAGCCGCCACCGAGCGCCGGACCGCAACAGGGCGCCGGCCCTACTCCCTCAGCCCCTGCCGGTCTATATTTGTTCGAAAACGAGTTCGGGGGCTCCAGAAGCGGAGCGATAGGCACCGTCTCACAGCTAGAATGCTTCGCAAGGCACGGGCACGTGATTACATGTCATTAACGACTCAAAAGCGAGATCGTTTACACTGGGAAATGGGATTGCAACGCACCAGTCCGAAGCGTGCTAATGCCCAATCCTTCTGTCTCCTCCTCTCGTTACAACCCTGACCGCCAGTCCACTGCCATGAACGATTGTCAGAACACCTAAAACAAACGGACGCGTTCACTGCTGGGGCGAGGAGTCACGTGGACGGCGTGGCTCCGCCGGGACGGTAGACTAGCATTTCGCCGCACGACCCCACTGCACCACGCTCATGTTCGCCTGACCAGTGCGGTCACCCCATAACAGAAGGCGCAGGTGTCATCAGCAGGGCTGCTCCTGCGGCTCTCGCTCGTCGCCGGCCTCTCCGGGGAGAGGCTGCGAGCCGCCGCCCTCCTTGGCCTCAGGCCAGGGGCCGCTGCGCCCGCCCACATCCCGGCGAAACTCATCCAGCTGGCGCTGCAGCTGCGCCGACAGCCGCGCCTCCATGTTGCTCAGCAGGTCCTTGATGTCCTCGAAAGAGACGGCGCGCGCCGCGGCGACCCTCGCGGCCGCGGTGCATCCGCAGCATGCCGTCGGTCTCGGGAGACCGGAGGGAGGTGTTGCGACGACCAGGGGCGGCCGGCGCCGTCGGGCGCCCGCCCCAGGAGCCGCCGCCGGAGCCCGCCTCGCGACCCTCCTGGTTCTGCAGCGCGCGCCAGATCCGCTCCAACATCTCCTTGCTGATCTTGTGCTCGCGGATGCTTTTGGTCTTGTAGTCAAGGATCTGCAAGTGGTGCGACTTCTGCGGATGGTTGGGAAGGAGGAACACGCGCTTGGAGAGCACGTCCAAATGGATCGAGTCCAGCACGGGTTGTGTGGCGACCTGCAGCCACTTGCAACTGCACAGCGACTTCATGAAGGCCGTCATCAGTTCGGTGTTGTATATGAGTTGTGACTGCTTTTTGAGGCGCTCTAGGTGGGCGCCCTGGCGAAGGCCCTGCACGTCGTTGACGGCCAGCGCCACGAGCAGGTTGGACAGGATGATGGAAACGAGGACGAGGAACAGGAAGAATATGATGTGACTCGTGCCGCGCAGCGGAGGCTGGGTCTTGTCCAGGAAGAGAGCCTCATAGTCCACCTCTCCTAGCATCAGGGTCAGCGTCTTCATGAACGAGTTGAACGGATCGGAAAACGCTCCCTCAGTGCGGAAGGCCAGGTGGAAGCTGATGGAGAACGCCACGAGAAGACTGAAGTAGACGAAGAATATCTTGCAGAACACATTGGCGACACGTATGAACATGCTCACGTAGATGCCGCAGCTGGGGAACTGTCCGACCATGTGCATGGTTTTGGACCAGAGGAAGAGCACGTAGAAAGCCGCCATGTGTGTCTGCCAGGCACCGCCACCCTTGGCGCTGACGGCAAAGAACATGAGGAACAACAACCAGTTGAAACAAGACACGGCATTGGTGAAGTAGTTGGACGCGGACGAGATGATGTTGAGGACCTCGTGCACCACCAGAATCGCAACCATGGTCACGGACGTCCAGTAAAAGCCCGCTTCCCACTCCATGATTTTGGCCGTGAACGTAGAAGTTCGTTCCTTATCACTGTCGCCAGATGCACCTGGGGACTGCGTGCCCTCACTGACGTTGTTGGCACTCGCGTTCGCCGCCGGGTGGATCACCCGGTTTTCTTTCTCCCACACGAACTTATTGAGGATGAAGAACGTACTCACAACCACAAACACCATGTAGAACAGCAGTTTTAACACGAAGAGTTTGACCACGCGATGCCACTTGAGCGCCAGGAACGCCTGGCACACGGGGTGGATGAGAACGTCCGACTCGCCGATCCGAATGAAGTTCCGGAGCATGTCCGTGTGGCACATGGCGTCGGCGCGGATCAGCGGCTTGAAGTTGACGGTGATCTCGAAGTTCTTGTTGTTCTTCGGCAGCTTGTTCGGCACCAGGCAGTGGTCGAGGATGCTGTCGAGCGCGTTCGGGATGTTCCTCAGCATCATCGCCAGCGCCGTCTCGCCCTCCGAGTTCTTGGCCTTGAGGTCGGCACCGCCGTTCAGCAGCGCCACCGCGTTCGGTATGGAGCCGGCCTTGGCGCACTTGTGCAGCGGTGTCTCGCCCTGGTTGTCGGGCAAGTTGACCTCGGCGCCGGCCTCCAGCAGCTGGCGCACGCAGCGCACTTCGTGGCCCAGCGCGGCGTCGTGCAAGCGGCGAGTAGCCGCGCATGTCCTGCACGAACACGGCGCTGCGCCGCCGCGCCAGCAGCACGCTCAGGCACTCGGCGCAGCCGGCCACCGCCGTGAAGTGCAGCGGCGTCTGGAAGAACTTGTTCTCGATGCTGGCGTCGGCGCCGCGTCCGAGCAGCAGCTCCACGCCCTGTCGCCACTTGACGCGCGCCGCCTGGTGCAGCGCCGACTCGCCGAAGAAGCCGTTGACGGCGTTGACGTTGGCTCCGCGGTCGAGGCTGGTCGTCACCAGCTCGAGGCTGCGCTTGTCGATGGCCTGGAAGAGCTGCTGGTCGGCGGCCGTCGGCTGCGGCGGGTTCAGCGGCGAGTGCCGGTGGCTCATCTGCCGTCGGCGCGACATCTCCAGCCAGCCGGACGTCTGGTGGCGCAGCGACCGCGCCATCACTGCCGCCGGCACAGAACGGGTCAGCATGCGTCATCACATCTCGGCACGAGCCAGTGCAGGCTGACGCGGTTCGGGTCACGCCGGACACGGGTCAACAAGGGTTAAATGATTTCAGCAAGAGGTGACGGGTCAAGTCATCATAGGCCAACAGAGTGAATCAAGGGTCAGCACAGGACTGTAACCAAGGGAAAGTACAGGTAAACACAGGTCAATACAGGTTAGCTGAGATCGTTATGCATCAGAACAGGTCAGAGGCAATCAGCAAAGGTCAACACAGCCATCACAGCCATCATAAGCCGTGAAAGGCTGACACGGGTCAGACTTGATCAGCGCATGGCATTGCAGAACAAGGGCATAACAGTGTTGTCTGCCTTCAGTTCGGCGGTTTGGGGACAATCAGTGCGGACCAGTTCACAGGGGAATGAACACAAGTATAGCATGGCGACCAGGCAAGCGCAGTACGATGAAAGATTTAGAACGTCAGAGGGGGCAGCGTCAGCTGAAATGAGACTCACTCTTGCGTGGTGTTTATGGACAAGAACGATGGTTTGCACAAGACAGCGGTTGACTCTCTTACTCACCTTAGAATATCGCGGACGAATAATGAGCATGTACTTTTTTAAGTTCAGTATTTTTACCGCACGCCGAAACCTCTATTTTTGCCAGAAAATTTGTACTGGCAGAATACAAACATATTCGGAGCTGCGACTCCAGCCCAGTGTCAGCAGACCATTGTTTGCCAGCAGCCATGACATACCGGCCATGGCTCTGACAGCGTTGCGGGGTCAGGGGATCAGCGAGGGACTCCATCTGAGAGCGGCCGGCTCCACTCGAGCGAGACGGCCGCGGTACGAGCGCGCCGGCGCCGCCACCGCCTGACGGGGACGCGCTGAGCGGCGGCTCACCCCAGACGGTGCCAGGCCTCACTGACGCCTGTCTGCCGCAGACGGGCGGCTGCAGCGCTCCCCTGACGTACCGCCGCAGGTGGGGCGGCGCCCCCAGCCAGGCACGCCACACGCTGACGCACGGCCGCAGGTGGGGCGGCGCCCCCAGCCAGGCTCACCGCAGCCTGGCGTACCGCCGCGGGTGGGGCGGCGCCCCCAGCCAGGCTCACCGCAGCCTGGAGTACCGCCGCGGGTGAGGCGGCGCCCCCAGCCAGGCACACCGCAGCCTGGAGTACCGCCGCGGGTGGGGCGGCGCCCCAGCCAGGCACGCCGTTACAGGCACACCGCTGAGGCGGCGTCCCCAGCCAGGCACGCCAGCACAGGCACCCCGCTGAGGCGGCGTCCCCAGCCAGGCACGCCAGCACAGGCACACTGGTGAGGCGGCCGCCCCCAGTCGTGTACGTCACATCCCCTCACGTTCAATGACATGTAATGAGGACCTGCCCTGCTTTCGCTGTCGCCTGATATGGCCTATCTATCTGCAGCTTTACCACATCATTTGTATCTAAACCACTGTCCGGCATTGCAACGGCGTTTGTATTTCGGCATGAGTGCATGCCAAATGTAATACGAATGCTGTGGAAGGTCGGACAACTCTAATGGCTGTAGCTGAATGTCTAGGTAATTCTCTTGGCTTCGAAGTTTCTTTAGTTTTAAGTTTAAAAAGTGTTTTAATTCTCTTCCATTCCAATATTTCCAGCGGCTTCTTTTTGATGTAACAGCAGATGACATTTTACAGCATTCCGGTTCCAAAATACCACCGCCTACCAATCAGATCCTAGTGTTTGATCCGGCAGCCTTCCAGCATTTTCAGCCAGTCAGTGGTCGGGCTGGTGCCGCTGTATGATATCACAACAAACCCAGAAAACACCGTTAACATCACAGCCCGTGCCTCGGACAAGTGCGTGACGTCATTGCGCACCCTGGCTCAGCTGACAGCCCGCCGTGCTTACTTTACACCAGATTTAGCCTCTGTCGCGGCCCCATCCGACGGCCTCCCGGACACAGCGCTGTCCGCGATTTAGCCTCCGTCCCCGTCGTCGCGGCCCCATCCGACGGCCTCAGGGGCACGCGAGAGCGCGACACAGCGCTGTCCGCACCCGATATCCCGTGGTTTGGCCTGTGACATCAAAGACTGCGCAAGTCACGACTCACGTGGGGGACAGCGAACAATTCACATGTCTGCGTCACTCCGCCACCTGCCGTCATCTCGCGCTAGCCGCGACCATCGCCACTCGGCGTCCTCACTTTGTCTCCAGGGGGACGCCACCGCAGACGACAGGCACGCTTCACTGCCAGTCAACAGACGACCACGCTCATTCGAGCTCTTCGGGCACGCGCTGGGAGGGTGTGCCTGCACCGCGGGGCCGCCGGAGTCGCGCACGGCCGGCCAGGGACCCCCGGAGCGCGCCGCCGGCTGCGCCTCGTCTCGGCGGCCAGCGCGCCGCCACTGACCGCGCCGCGCCGCCACTGACTGAGCCGCGCCACTCGGTCAGTGCCGCGCCCAGGTGCGAGCGAGACCGCCCAGCACACCTCAAACACACGAGCGTGTTCATTCACCGGCACGATTAGACGATAAACAAACATCGGCTGGCGGAGTCGGGGGGGCCGCTGCCTCCAGCAGGAGGGGTCGCTGCCTCCAGCGGGGGGGGGGGGGGGGCCGCTGGTGCGGTGCTGGCCGCCGTGCCGGCTCGTTGCCTGGCCCCTGGGACGGTGGGTTGGGTCATGGCAGGTCACGGTGGGATAGTGGCAGCGGTATGGGAGGTCGCGGTGAGATGGTGGCGGCGGGATGGAAGATCAAGATGGGATGGTGACGTTTGGGAGGGAGGTCACGATGGTTTGGCGGCGTTTGGGCAGCAGGTCACAGTGGAATGGTAGTGCTGGGATGGGAGGCCACGGTGGGATAGTGACGGTGGAGCGTGAGGTCACGACGGGATAGTACCGGTGGAATGAAACGGCTCGGTTTGATGGTGGTGGTGGTGGGATGGAAGGTCACGGTGGGATAGCGGCAGCGGGGTGAGAGGTCACGGTGGGATAGCGGCAGCGGGGTGAGAGGTCACGGCTGGATATCGTCCGCCACTCCCCGCCAAGAACGGAGCGCCATCCCGGGCCCGCCGGGTGGATGGGCTCCGAGCCGTGACGGCTGGCTCGGGCGGACATCAGTCTTTCGCAGCGTCCGGGATAGGCCACCACCTGGTGGCACGGTGGCACGCCGCGGTGTGTGTACCGAGCCCTGCGGCGATTTGGGGCAGGATCTGCCTGCCGTTTGTTCATTCTCGTTCGTGTTGTTCAATCGAGTGCGCTATTACGATATGTTCGCAATTTGGCTGAGTTAAGGATTCTGATGCCTAATGACCAAGGTAGGTCGGTGTTTGGTCTGGATGCCAGCAGCCATGCGCCACGTCTCGCTATTCATACCGCCCTCGTGCCAACTCATCTCCTAACTTTGTGCCGCTCCGCCACTTAAAACAGGAGCCGGGTGGTCGTTTACCGGCAGCCGTCGGACGCGGGCCCCGCATAACTCGGTGAAATGGCGACGGCAGGTGAACTCGATCAATATCGCACCCCACACGTCACTCACCTGACACCGAATTCACAAACACCGGCGGCCAAAATGCCACCGGTAAACAGGAAACCCGGACCACCTTTTGGGGCTAAATCTGGCGCGCGAAGAGGCGGCCCGGTCACCAGCAGGAGGAGGCGGCGGTCTTTCCGGCCGCGTTGGCAGCCTGCGCCGACGCCGAAACGTGTGTTCGGCGTCAAGGTAAGTCGGCCGCTGCCTATTTCCGCCCACTTCGGCTGGATACTATTCTGGGCGCCACCCACGGCGGCGGCGCTCTGTCGTCGGGAGCCATGCCCCATACCCTCTCCATTGTTCGCACGGCGTCTGACGAGGTCTGACGGCGCGGCGTCTGAGGAGCGTCAGCGCCGGCGTTGGCCAGCTCGACCTCGGCTGGCGGCCAGACTCACCCTCCTGCGGCCGTCCCAGACAGACGGGCACGCCCAGTCTACAGCGAGGCCTAACTCCGGTCTGAGTACAGGTCAGACGGTAATACGGGTGGCTGTCTAAACAGTGCCGGCAGCCGGACGCGGACCGCGCACCGGACGCCGTCGGCCAGCGATCGCGGTGTGCGCGCCAGCACACGCTAACCTCCCACGTTGCGACGCGCCCCATCCGGCGTTTCTCCGGGATGGAGGTGCCAACCAACGCTGGCGCAGGCGTTGCGCAAAACACTGCTGATGATTCGGCGGCGTGCGGTGCGAAACTCCCACTGTTGTCTCGCCAAGCCCGCTGAGAGACTGCCTGGTGAAGGGAGCGAAACCGAGTGGTGGCGTCAGTTAAACGGATGGCTACACAGGAGAACGGGGCCTATGTCGCTACGGACGACGCCCGGAAAATCATAGTTTTCCGCTTTCAATATATCACGCATCGATTGCGCCGGTCTGTGACAAAACATAGTTACATCGCTAAAGACTGGAGAGACTTTAAACTCATCAAAGTGCCTCAGAGCTGATATTTGCCATACGACTGCATCTGGCGGCGATAGCCAGTTGGCTGGCAGTAAGCCAACGTCATCCGATCAAGGCGCACCGCTAGCACCGCGTGATCACTAACACTGATCTACAGGCTGCTAGCATGGGTCTCCCACATCCGGTATCATAGCAAAGCCAAGTGATTTTCAGCCAAGCAGACTTTCTCTTCAATGCGCCAGTTTCACTTGTGCTGAACCGTCAAAATCTGGTCATTTTGGCGTACAATACCTCAAAAAGGCGAGCGAGAACGAAGCAGACAAATGCCACAATCCTTGAAGTCAAACTCGCTGCATCACAGCTCAAATTTACATAACGTGCATATGTGTCATAGCCCAGCGTCTCACTTGCATGGTGCAAAAGCTGCAGCAATCTTTCGCGACCTCACACGATGCTGACCTCCGCAGTTATACGGTCAAGGTGCCTCCTCTCCGCGCGTGTGGTCCAGGCCCGGCTACCCGCTGACAGCTCTCTTCGCCGCTTTTCTCCGACGAAAATTAGCACGTGCCCTCAAGCGCACACGA